TTATATATATTTATATATATATATATATTTATATATACATATTTATATATAAATATATATTTATAAATGTATATGTATGCATAATAAATGCATATGTGTATGTAAATTGCAAGCACTTGTTACTTCGATCGGCCGGACTCATCGATTCGACGAAATATTTCCGTGCTGGTACACATTCCACATTTAAATTTCGCATTTATATAGATTTGTTTTTAAATAATGATAGTGTAAACAAAAAATATAAAACATAGATTTAATAATAAAAACAATAACGATAATAATAATTCCATTTTTATTTCTTCGCGTTCTCTCATCTCGATATATTCTTTTTAATATTTATTTTTATAATTTATATCGATTCGTCGTTTAGTTAAATAAATTCAATTGAATTCTTAAACTACAGTAATTTCAGTCCTGAGTACAAAGTAATGAATCAATTATATCTTTAATCCTCTATCTCTGTTATTAATTAATTAAGATACTTCATTGTGATATTTAACCCCTTTCATTTGTAGTATTTAAATGTTGAACTTCTTTATCGACATTCGATTGAGTACAATGTGTACAGTACTTTCTATTAAATGTTACTAGGAAATTAGAAAGTTTCAAATATATTGAATTTCTAGTAACATGGCTAAGCCGATATCGGTAATAGTAGTGCTCTACCTTTATCTTACCGACAGTAAAAAAAACTTACTGCAGATTAAAATTAATAAGTGCTTATTATTGCACATTAATTGCTCATTAATCATTCATAATTCCACGCTTATTAATTAATTATTTCATTAGTTATTGATAATTGGAAATCTTCTGATGGTAACTTACCATCAGATTTACCGACAGTAAAAAACTTACCATAGAATAAAATTAATAAGTGCTTATTATTGCTCATTAATGATTCATAATTCCACGCTTATTAATTAATTATTTTATTAGTTATTATTAATTGAAAATCTTCTGATGGTAACTTACCATCAGAATTACCGACAGTAAAAAATTTTTAAGCAATAAAGCGAGCAATTATAGAGGATAAATAGACAATTAATGAGCACTTAATAGCACTTATAAATTTTATTCTGCGGTAAGTTTTTTTTACTGTCGGTAATTCTGATGGTAAGTTACCATCAGATCTCAGTCGGTAAGATAAAGGTAGAGCACTACTATTACCAATTTCGGCTTAGCCATGTTACTAGAAATTCARTATATTTGAAACTTTCTTATTTCCTAGTAACTTTTAATAGGAAGTACTGTACACATTGTGAATGTGTAATTAAATTCTATATACATTCTACATACATTTAAAAACACAAACAACAATTAAAAATCTAATATAGATATTTTGCTTTAATTATTAATTAAAAGAGTTTTCTTTTTAAGAACGAGACTACTATCTTCATTATATCCAACATATGGCGCTGAATCGAATGTCGATAAAGAAGTTCAACATTTAAATACTACAAATGAAAGGGGTTAAATATCACAATGAAGTAACTTAATTAATTAATTAATAACAGAGATAGAGGATTAAAGATATAATTGATTCATTACTTTGTACTAAAGACTGAAATAACAGTAGTTTAAGAATTCAATTGAATTTATTTAACTAAACGACGAATCGATACAAAAATAATCATAAAAATTGAAAAACAAAATTAACAAAATAACTTTCGTAGCTTTGAATTACATGTTTCATATAAACGAAAGTGAATCCTTGACAAATTAGTAAAAGACCTGATTATTCCTTTCATCATTTACGAATTGCATTCACTTTTCTTTGGATCGAGAGCATGCGTTTAAACAACTCAACAAACAACTAAGGGAAGCAAGAAACTACGGCGATTCTTTACACGAGTTGAGAAAGAAGAACTCGAGACGAGCAGAATTTACGTAGCACTTAATCCAACCGCTTAGAGAGGCCTCCGCTGCGAAATCACCCTACTTCACATTCTTGCCTATCTATTCTTCTCTCTCTCTTTTACTTCTCTTTTACTTACTTGCTTGCTTGCTTGCTTGGATGGTTGGTTGGTTGGTTGGTTGGTAGCTTCCAACGCCACTTATCATCGTGGATCTCTCTCTCCTTTTCTCTTCTTTTCTTTCTTCTTAAAGTTCAAACCTCAAGCACCTCTCGACTCGAGTTGGGGATTCCCCCTTCGAAAATTAATACTTGATCGTTACTCCACTCGGTCGATAAATTGTTTTCTTTCTAACGTTATAATAAACATTGTTATCTTTTTTCTTTTTTTTTTTTCTCTCTCTAAATGCATACAAAGTTAATAAATATATTTAAATATTCTTTATTGTATATATATGTATATGTATATGATTTACGAGGATCGGGTTGAAAAGTTTTGAGCCTGAACAAATTGTTTCTAGATTTAAGTTCAAGACTTTTCAACTCATCCAAATTATACACACATTCGTTATATTGCAAATTATAAATAAATAAATATTAGAAGTGAAATAAAAATATAATATTAGAATAATAGAATTAAAATYATTTMCTTTTCTTATTGATACAACTATCATAAGGGGGTTTTTCTCTCTCTCTCTAAATGCATATTATACGCGAGACAAAGTTAATAAATATATTTAAATATTCTTTTTTGTATATATAT